ACCCGGATGTTCTGCTCCAAAGCAACCAAAGTTGTCGAAATTACATGAAAAGATTATGGCATCCATTTTTTGGGATACATGTAATTATTAATAGGTTACCCACTAGCCCAGGCTACAGAGAAAAATAATAGATATTTCATTTAAAAAAGTTTAGGCAGATATCTGAAAGTTTTATGTGAAAGGGGGGTATTTCTAGTGACAAATATATAAAAAGATACAGCCAGATATGCGTTATTTTATATAAACAATGAGAAAAACTCAAAATGCAGTATTTTGCTTGCATAATTTTTAAATTGAATTTTATAAGCTGAAGATTTTGAAGCGTGAAAAGAAATTTAATCTTATTTTTTGAAAATTAAAATCGATAAAGCAATTGTAAATGGCTGATTGTGAGAATAAGGAATCATTGGTGTTAATATGTGTGCTAAATTTCAGCCAGATCAGCTTAATAGTTTACGTAAAAAGCTAATTGTTTATCCCTGAGACGAACTATTTAAACAACTGTATTTGATCAACATATGTTCCAGAACATTTTACAAAAGTCAAATGGATTCTTGAAGGTTTCAATTTCTAGCTCGTTTTATATTTTGAAATTGAGTCTTCAAATCGCTGTAAACAGTATCTCGGCTTCTAAGCAACGTAAAACCTCCTTGTTTTAATTTGGGGCAACTCGTCCAAATAATGACACCTGGTACATTTCTATTTTCCTGGGAAATCTAAAACAAAAATCATCATGGGGACAATGCACCTGCTCCGAGAAGCATTCCAACAATTTCAAAAATCAGCCAATTACGTTCCCGTTCCTCTCTTTCATTTGTTTTCGTGTCTTCAAGAACTCCAAGTGAGGAGAGTATACAGAATAACTTCAAATAGAAAATTGTTTGAAAAAGTTTGTTGAACCTATTAGTAAAGACTACAGACTATATTGAAGAATAAACGTATTTTCAGGTACCATTATAGTGTCCAGGGTACTGTAAGAATTGTAACGGTTTGAAAGATATTACCCAAAATGTCTTTTGCAAAATTATTCAGTGGTGTAATAACTAACAACTAACTTTGCTAAAACTCAATTCTTACCATTTTTTAGTTATAACCAGGCTCTCTTTAAGATAAATGATAAAAATCTAAAAATCAGTAGAGCCAATGAACTTATCTATACTATAACTATCTAAAACTGTAATGACTCATCGATGTTCACGTGAACATCATTTAACTACCAGTAGTCGGCTGTTCATAGGCGGGGTATGAATGTTTAACATGGGTGAACTAGATTTGTCACATGCTTAATAAAGAGTGGTTTGAAACATATTGTAAGTCAAAAATTTGGGAATTACCTTTATTCATCGTCGCTTCCACTTACATCTGACAGTAATAAACTGTCGCTATCGTTTTTCCTCGTTGAAATTGACTATAACTTACACTTACATCTGACAGTAATAAACTGTCGCTATCGTTTTTCCTCGTTGAAATTGACTATAACTGGCTCTATGATGGTGTCGATGTGGTGGTCAAGCTGCCACATTTTTGTTTCTTCCTTCATAACATGACAGATAGCATTCTGCCAAGCTTCGGGCGTTACTAGCTGTATGAAAGTCTCAAGTAAAACCTTAACGTCTGGTAATTTGAAGGTTGTGTTATGGCGCGCAATATAACCCTTCACTTGAGCCCAGATGAGCTCTATTGGGTTCAGTTCACAGTGGTAGGGCGGTAACCGCAGCACAGTGACACCACATTGACGGGCCATCTCATCAGTCACGCAACTAATGTTCGCAGGTTTGTGCTGTTTAATTTTTTCATACAATTCTGCTTTCACACATGAATCGTCAAACCATTGCTGCATGTCACTTTTTCGAGATCCCATAGTCGGTACACGTTCGGCTCGACGACTATGGTAGGAAGCATTATCCATGACGATCACAGAGTTGGGCTCAACTCGCTGAAGCACCCCTTGAAACCAGCTCTCGAAGCAGCTGGCATTCATTTCGTAAAAGGTAATCACCTCCTTTCTTAGAGACGAAAATCAAGTCACACTCTTCTAAAAAGCCACTATCGCTACCAATATGAGTTACGATCAATCTTTGACCTTTCCCTGACGGTCCACGAAGACCTGTTGACAAACCTTCAATGCTTGCTTGTCGGTCACTTACTACGTTTTTGTCTATCCAGGTCTTTTAACTGTGTGACCTGCATTTACCCATGTCTCGTCCAAATAATAGATTTTTCTGCTTTGTCGTCTATATTCAATCATTCCGCGTAGGTATTTTCGACGCCAGGCGACTATTTCAGGTCTCTCTATCAATACTGACTTCCGATTACGCGTTTCGTAACAAAAATTAATTTCGTGCAGGGATTTCCTCATTACCTCGTCGCTCATTTGGGGTATAATTTCATTTTCCTTGATCGCTGCATGTACAGCCTTGAGGGTTGGTATCTCATTCCTAAAGAAGAATGAATGTACGGTTCGCCTTAACGCCATTATGCTATCGTCATCCAATTTAACGACCTTTCGTCCCTTCAAATTAAACTTTGGATCAGTAGTAGCTCCAGTTTTCTTCTTTTCATGCACCACCCTGCGAATGGTCCACTCTGGAACGCCTGTCATACTTTCACAACGCGCGAGTGCATCTCCCTGGGACGTAGTTCTGTTCAGATAATTGAACAGGTTGAGCACGATTTCTTTCGCGTCCCTCTTCAGTGCTTTACGAAGCCGTCTACTTGTTCCCTGGCTTTCAGTACTTCCACTCGTGCCATTTGTACTCTCCATGGTTAAGTATAACCAAAAAAGTAACCACAGAAACCACAACAATAACAATCACACAACAATTCTTATAAAAACACACAATATGCGATCGCTCAACGAAACACGTTCCAATGCGTTGCCGACGCCTATGAGTCTGCCGGTCGAGGCGCGTCTTTGATTTCATTGGTTCTACCGGCGGAGAACAATCAGCCATTATTTCCATCGCTGTCTGTGCTGTTGACCACCGCAAGGCCACAGAAACGTCATATGTCGTACGCTATACGGCTGTACTGGAAGGAAGCCGGGATCGAGCTCTGATCACGTGTTGATCACGCGTATGAGTCATTACAGTTTTAAATAGTTGTAGTATAGATCCTCACTTGAGACGGGACATACATATTACTTATACACCTATATTAAATGAATTCAGATTCATAGCATACAAAATAAATTTTCGAACTTGTACATTAACTGAATGTTATCTGCGGATAATATATCCAGCTTTAGTGCTACATGCTAGACGTGCTTCAAATAACAATTTTAAAATCAATGTTTGGTAAATCAAAATTATAGCCAACTGATGACTTGTACAATGTACGCGCAAGTACATGATACCAAACAATTTTAGTTCTTACATACCATCACCCATTATCCCCAAATTAGTAATGAACGCGGCACAATTAAACGTAGTTATAGCACCCGATATAAATTACGCGCAAAATATGTTCCTAAAATCAAACAAATGCCCCCCAAATTGTTAGTATTAGACGGAGATACCCCTGGTTCGCGAAATAATTGTAAAGTCTGGTTTTATTGCTGTGAGTTGTTGAAGAGGGTATTTTAAACATGGACGCATAAAATGGGTATACCAGTTTTTGTGGGAAAACTTTTGATTCGACAACAAAGAATGAGAAAACGTGTTTTTAGGGATTAAATCGCCAGGAACGAAAAAACTCTTCATATAGTATTTTTAGGTATTTGTGAGACCTAAAAAATAAGACCACACGTAAAAAGATCCGACTAATAACAAAAAAGTTATGGCCGAAAACCGAGGCAAACTGCAGGTTTTGGCACTTGTTGCTAATGCGACGATAGTTTCTCGCAGATATTTGAAATTCTTCAAATTCATAGGATTCTTACTGCTTAATCACCACAATAAAATTGGAGTAGATTGGTCAAGTACTTTTTGAGAATTTCTGTTTATCCCAAAGCACCTGTTTTCCGGCCATCACTACTAGTTTACTGAGCAATATACAGAGTTCGTTCAAAGGGCATTTTATAGGAAAATACACGGGTTTACCTTGCCGATATGAATCGCAAACCATTTCGGAAGATAAATGCTGTTTTTATGCAAAAAAGGATGGGTTACATTTTTTCTTATAAACAAATTTAAACATTTCGTATTTGTGACTAACTCGCAACAAAAGATGACAGACACATCCGCTTTGTTTTAAAATGCGTATAGTAATGTATTTTTTTCTAGTATCGTGGCGCATTCGTTCAATTACTCAAAAATACGAAATGTTGTTTTGGAGAGAAAAACGTAGCCTTCGTTTTTTGCATAAAAATAACATTTATCTTTCGGAATGGCTTGTGATTCTTATCAGCAAGGTAAACACGCGTATTTTGCTGTTAAATGCCCTTTGAATGATCCCTGTATATTGCTCAATAAACTAGGAGAGATGGCCGGAAAACAGGTGTTTTAGGATAAACAATTAGAAATTTTCAAAAAAGTATTGGACCAATATACTCCAATTTTGCCTCGCTTTTCGGCTATAAATGTTTTGATATCAGTCGGATCTTTTCACGTGTTGTCGCATTTTGTAGGTCTCATAAATACCTAAAAATCTTGTATGAACAGTTATCCCATTCTTTGTTGTCAAATAAAAAGCTTTAACACAAAAATTGGTGTACCCATTTTATGCGTCCATGTTTTAAATACCCCCTTGCACCAATAAAACTACACCTTTTTTTCTTTTTTCATCTATTGCAATTCAACTTAAAATTGATCCAGGCACAGGCATTGTTCTTTTATGGATACATTATATTTATTTACTCCTTTTATGCTACTTTTTTCATAGAGTAAATAAATATTACTATTATTATTACCTTATTCTGGAAATGATTCCGACCCGGTCCTGTTTGACCCCTAACATATTATACACGTGCTTTTGTTCTTAAAGGCAGCTATCCAATGGGAGCATAATCTATTCTTGGAAGACTACGCCACAGAATGAGCCGCTTTTTTAACTTGTTTCAGGTCTCAGGAAGAACAAAGTGAAGGAAATTTACAACCGGCTAGAATATCCGTAACAGAATTGGCTTTCCTTCTGGCATTATTGAGGTAGGTTATTCCAGAACAATGCACCTGATTTTGTGTCTAATGATATATTCTGGAATTCCGTTGTCTATGATGTTTTTGACATCACAACCAAAAGTAACAGTCTGTTGTCATAGGGTCATCATGCTTTTATCACTTCGTGATTGTTGTGGTGTCACCTTAATGAGCAATAACAAATACAAAATAATCACAAGCTCCAGAAATGTCCATTAATACCACTACGCGTCTTTCTTAAAAGTGAAAATTTTCAAATTTAAACTGAAATCCAATCTTTCCCAAATATATCCCAGGTCATTCTCGGCTCAACAAAAATGCGTCAAGTAGTTACTTCATAGTTATGAAGGATCACGTGGGGCTCAAGTGAGCACCTCTGAGAAAAAAGTTTGCTACGAACATATACAGGGATTCCCCAACGAAAATGGAAAGTAGTTTTATTTTAGTTCTCAAAAATTTCATTATCATATATTTTGAGCTAATCTGGAAGAAACGCTAAAATATCTTTCTGTTTATACAGAGTATATTTCACCATTAAATAGCTTTCCTGGATAATTTTCTTCTGATATGAAGTTTGCACCATTTTTGGTAGAGAATTTGATTTTATGTTTAAATACAGGATGCATTTAGTTTTTGATGAAATTAATAGCAATGACTCAAAAACGCACGGAAAAAAGTTGTATGATACTTATAACAAAAATAAAGTCCCCCACCCCAAAAAAAACTATTTAACGATGTGTGTTCGAGTTGAAATTTTTGAGAAAAGGTGCAGTTCTCGTTTTGAGATACAATGTATGAATGGAGAAAATTTCAGCAATTTTTCCAAATCAACTTAAAATCAATGAAACTAACATTTTTGTGAGCTAAGATCTATCTAAACGCCGTCAAAGGTAAGCATTTTTTCAGGCGTATGACCAAATATCTAAACAATTAGCAATCGAAATCATATGTTATATAATATCAAACTCCTTGCTTTCAGAAACTGGAGATACTATAGACCAAAATATGTGAATCGACCTAAACATACTTTAGTTACAATTTTATTTTCTATTTATCCTTATTTCAGATTTTGGCATAAAACTCGGTATAGGGAGGTTTCCTAGTATTAGAAACAAGAATCGTTATTTTTTATGGCCAAACTTCTAGAGGGCGCCACTTACAGCACTATTTCGGTAAATAACTTATCATAACTTTTTTATGCTACCCTGTCTACAACAACTGACCGAAAAATCTTATGTTCTCGTATTTCCACAACAAAAAAGGTTTACTTGTTAAAAGTGTCTAAAGCTAATAGTTTTCGAGATATTTGTTTTTAAAAGTTCCAATGCATTATTTGTACCTTGAAGATAAAACATTTTTATAACATAATAATCAAGTTGCTTTGTATAATATCTGAGTAGCGTTGCTATGGTTTTCAAGAATAACAAATGAGGATGGCAGGATGGCAACAAAACTAATAAACGGAAATAATAACTACAAAAATTGTTCAACATGAGCATCACCTTACCTAACACACTCTCGAGCTCGACGAACTCATCCTTGCTGCATTCTCCAAAGCATTCGGATGTTATTTTTCATTTCCTGGCTATGTTGGGAAATTCTTTGTCCAAGATCGTCTACAGTTTCCACTGGCGTACTGTAAACGCGTCGTTTTAAGTCACCCCAGAAGAAGAAATCCATAGGATTTAAATCTGGTGATCTAGCCAGCCACTATAAAGGTCCTGATCGACCTATCGACTGGTCTAGAAACCCTATTTAGGTGCTCTCTCACTAATATACTAAAATGAGGTGGAGCGCCACCGTGCATAAACCATATAATCATGCGTGTTTGTAATGGAAGATCTTCCAGCGGAGTGGGTAATTGTTCTTCAAGAAATTGTGAATACGTTTGGCCATTTAGTCTAGGTGGTAACTCAATAGGTCCTATTAAATATTGTCCAATTATTCCTGCCTATAAATTAATTTGAAATTGTACTTGGTGGCGGGATTGTACAGGGTGGCCCATAAGTCCTTTGAGCTGGAAAAAAAGGAATAAAACCAAACTAGTTACATTATGAAGAATTATTATATTTTGTTATCATCTTTATTGAATGGGAATTATGTTTTAAAAATCACATCGTCTAAATGCAATCCATTACGATCACGGCACTCATATGAACGACGTCTAAAATTGTCGATGACTGCGCGGCAAGTCCACACTGTAATGCTTGCCATTTTCTTTCAGGACATCAACTGATCGCGGAGTGGTGTCGTACACTTTACTCTTGAGGTAGCCCAATAAAAAGAAGTCCATTGGGGTCAAATCTGGACTACGTGGTGGCCAGGAAATGTCTCCTCTTCGAGAAATTACTTTGCTGGGAAAAAGTTGAGAGACGACGGGCATAGAAGTGTTGGAGGTGTGGGCAGTTGCTCCGTCCTGTTGAAACCAGGTCTGCGTATTATAGCCTGGAAAATTCTGCAACGCTGGTGTCAAAAACTCTTCTATCATTGCTACATACCGCTCCGAAGTAACAGTTAATGCGCGACCTCTGTCGTCCTCAAAAAAATAAGGGCCTACGATGCCATGCGCTGACATAGCAGCCCAAACTGTAACTTTAGGGCTGTGTAAGGGCTTCTGATGCTTACGCCTTTAATTTTCGGGGCTCCAATAACGGCAATTTTGTTTATTTACATGCCCGTTTAAATGGAAGTGAGCCTCGTCCGAGAACAACACATTATTGAGCGAAGAAAATCGATTCAACATTTCATTCGCAAAGTTTAGTCTCTGAATAGCGTCATTATCTTTTAATTCCTGCACCAACTGAATTTTGTAAGCGTGCAGACGTAAATCTTTCCTTAAAATCTGCTGTAAAGATGTTCTGGGTACGTTTAGTGCACTGGAACGCTTACGAGTAGACTGGGTAGGATTTTTACGAACAGACTGTGCCACAATGTTGATGTTTTCTTCAATACGAGTTGTCCTTGGTCGACCCCACCACTGTTTATCTAACGTCGAACCAGTCTCTTCGAACTTAGCAACCCAGTTCTTAATCGTTTGAGCTATTGGACACTTTGTAAAATTGTGTAAATTGTGGTATTCTCGATATTTACGCCGCGCAATGGTTGCCGAATCATTATTTTGATAAAACGCGCGCACACAAAAAGCACGACCCGCTCCAGTGAAACACTCCATGGCGACTGAATTCCCAGACACTGAAGATACTGCCCCCACCTCGCCCGCGCCGCTCACGCTCACCCGTTAAATTTTATTCAAATTTGAAATTTCAAAGGACTTATGGACCACCCTGTATTATTGCATGAGGATTTTCGTCTGCATAAATGTGAAGATTATGCGAGTTAATGGTCTCAAAACCATTGTCGTGATTAAACTACCTTAAGAGCTATGTACAAAATTCTACCCTCACCGGTTCATCATCCGTGCTTAAACCATGTAGTTTTTGCAGGTGGTATGGATGGAGCAGTTGCTCGTGAAAAATGGTATTTACTGCACATTTGTAAATTTTAAATTCTCGAGCTACGTTTATAACCCCAACTGTAGGACTATCAAAGACAGCATCTAAAACATTTCCTACAACTTCAGCTGTACGCACAGTTCTGGGAGTTCCACTATGTGGGCCCATATTTTCAGCAAAGCTACCTAAAATCCAAATGGTTTTTACTACTCAAAATAAGGCTATAATCATTTCTTACCAGTTTCTCGAAACCGCTGATCGATTCGTTTGAAAGTGTCTATTAGGGAATCTATCAGCGTACAATCTTCGTGCTTTTAAAGCATTACATCTTTCCAATACGTATCAGAATATTCATCAAACGTATACTCCATGATGTTTAACAACTGATTGTCAAATTAAAATTATTAATGAAGTTTAAAGCAATATTATGGCAAAATTAGAAACCATAGCAACGCTACTCAGATGTCTCCCCAAGCAACTTCATTATTATGTTATAAAAATGTTTGGCCATAAAAAATAACGAATTCTTGTTTCTTATACTAGAAAACCTCCCTATACCGAGTTTTATGCCAGAATCTGAAATACTTGTCAAACAATAAGGAAAAATAGAAAATAAAATTGACACCCTGTATCTCGCAAACAATGACTTTTGGACTAAGGTATGTTCAGGTCAATTCACATATTTTGGTCTGTAGTATCTTCAGTTTTGAGATTTCCCAACCTTTCGCAAATTATCAAAATAATCATAGAATATGCATGAGTCACAAATCAAGGTTGCCACGAGAACAGATTTTTGATATATTGTTCAATGTGCTCATAAAACTATTTTATATTTTCGTTGAGTCACCCTGTATAACAGAAAAATTAAATCATGTCAGTCAAAAAGGTCCATGCAATTAGTCGCCCTTCCTATTTGACAACGTTTCGATCCAGAAATTCCACCCCGAGCCTTATCGACAGTACCGATCACCTGACAACGTTGCTACGACTAGCCTTGCCACCCATCTCATCGGTCAGACATGGATCAGACCTTGTTGCAGATATCTGTATGATCGTTACATTGCTGAAAAATTCTAAAACATTGTCAAACATAGAAGAATTCACTAATTTTCATCAAAAAACTCCACTCACATGTTTTCGAGTTTAATAACGAATATAATATTTGTTATAAACCGTGAATTGCGAAAACTATCAGGAATTTTGTTGATTATGAAACTCCGATGGGTACAAACATGCATACAGCCCTTTTGCTCGACGCCGAGTGCCGGTTAAGTTGCCTCGCCACGTCGACGCACCGAAAAGGTCCCACTACCATCTTTATGATCTACCTTTTCCTTGAAAATCAACAAAACAAATACCATATGTTAACAACTTGACACCAGTAACCATCAATAATTTGTCAAAAATCAAAACGGCAGATCCGATATGGCGGACATGTGTGCAAAAGAATGTTTCGATTGCACTCAAATTTGTGTTCCAGATGTTTTCAATGTCGTTAAAAATGAATTTGATATCGATTGTCGAAAATCAAAAAGGTGGATCTAGTATGGTGACTAA